TACCATCTCAATTGCTGAAATTGTTTGTTGGTGATATGGATTCCAAATTTGACTACAGTATTCCAGTGTACTTATGACTAACGTATTGTACAACAGACAAAGGGCATCCAGGGAATTGAATTCACTACAAGTTCGAATTAGGAAACCCAGTGATTTCATAGCTTTTGAAATTACTGCTTCGTAGTGATAAGTGAAAGTTAGTTTGTGGTCGTAAACAATTCCCAAGTCCTTTTGCTGTGTTACTCTTGATAATGACTCTTCGTTAAGCAGATAATTGTTCAATAGTGGGGTATTTTTTCTTGAATATGTCATTACTTCACACCTGCTAGTATTTAATGAAAGTTTATTCGCTGAACACCAATTTTCTAGGGTTTTCAAATCATTTTGTAGTAAGATATAATCTGTTGGGCCATCAATTCGTTTGTATGATTTCATGTCATCAGCGAACAGAAGGGTTTCGGATTTGATTTCAGTGCATATATCATTTACAAATAAAAGAAATAATAGTGGTCCCAAATTTGAACCCTGTGGCACACCCGATGTTGCAAAAAACTCTGAGGATTTTACTCCTTTATATTCAACGAACAATCTACGGCCTAGCAAATATGATTTTAGAATATTAATAAGGTTTGCAGAAAAGCCAAAAGACGTCAGTTTTTCAAGTAGCCTGTCGTGCGACACGCGGTCGAATGTCTTACTGAAATCTGTGTAGAATACATCTACTTGCGATCTTGAATCGAGGGCGTCCGAGACAAATTCAGTAAATATGCGAAGGTTTGTCGATGTACTACGGCCTTTCATGTAACCATGTTGGTTTTCGGAAATTAGATGCCGTGTATGTGCATACATCAGGTCTGTCACAAGGATTTCAAATAATTTTGAAAATGCAGAAATCAGAGCGATGGGCCTATAATTTGTAATTTCGGTGGATATTCCAGATTTGAAAATGGGACATATGCGTGAATATTTGCAAGTATTGGGAAACGTTCCACTTTTGACAATTAGATTGAAGATAGCAACGAGAGGTCCTAGCAATTTTTCGATAAATTTTTTTAATATTTTGGGTGGAATGTTGTCAGGTCCAGATGTCCACTTGTTCTTGAGCTTTTTGCATGCATTGGTAATTTGGTCTCTAGTTATCATTGGTATGTGTAAGTAATTACTATTACTCATGGTGCTATTTGGCGAGGCTTCGCTTACTATATCGGAATCCTCCTCAATGTAAACACTTTTGAAGTGGGCTGCAAAGGAGTCGATAATTTGCTGTGGATCAGCGATCTCTTTCCCTTCATAGTTCATTTCACCAGGAATGCGAGATTTTTTATTTTTCAGATTGATGTAGTTCCAAAAATTTTGGGGATTCGATTTAATACTATTTTCCGATATACCGATGAAAGTTTGATAAGCTCTCCCTATTTCAGTTTTTATTGTTTTTCTTAGATTTTTCACGCGAGTTAAGTAATAGTTGAGTTTCCGTTTTCGATACATTTTTAAGTAATGATATTTTGATTTTATTTTGTAAATTATGCTTCTGGTGAACCAAATCGGATATTTATATTTTTTTGTTTTGATAAAGGTACACATTCTTTCATCATACTTATCGATGATGTGCTGAAAAGCTCGCTAGCAATGTTGACATCTGAACATGACTCTATTATAGTCCAGTCAAATTCAGATAGCAGACGATTAAGTTTCTTCCAGTTAGTTTTTTTGAAATTCAAGCGATCAATGTTGGAGGAAAAATTATTTATTACATTGTGAATGTCTTGGAATTCAATTAGTAGGGCTGGATTGTGGTTATCCAAGGGTACTAACGGGTCACTTTCACTTGTCACCACGCAATCATCCACCAATGGCGAAATCACTAGATCTAATATTCTATCATAACAGTTTACAATTTTGTTCATTTGAATATGCCCTGGGAAGGCTAAGAAGTAATTTAGACGAGCTAGTACATTTGTTACAGGAATGTCTCGGTCATCGTAGTGACTGTTCAGTTCTGGAATATTGAAATCCCCTATTATCATAGTGCGATTTATGCCTTCAAAATTTTCAAAAGTTTCTAGTAGTGCCTCGTAATCGGTTAAACTGGAGTTTGGTGGAATATAAACTAGTATTATGGAATATGATGTGTTGCTTTTGAAAGACATTTTTATACAAATTAGATCGATTTTTTCCACCGGAGATTCCAACTTGTGGTATTCAGAATGGATGGTATTAGTATCAACAGCCAACAAAACGCCGCCCCCACGGCCATTTGTTTTATCTTTTCGATATACAATATAGTTTTCTGGGACGAGTTCACTATCAAAAACACTCTCCTTCAACCACGTTTCCGAGATAGCTAGTACACTGTAGTTGTTAGCGACGGTATTTTTGTAAAAAGTATGAGTATGAGGGTCGTTTATTTGTGATCTGCTGGATGATAGACGTTTTTTGATGCAATGACTGAAAGGTTATTTTTGTATTTGATAACCAGATCCTTTCGAACGTTCAGAAAATATTCTCGCTGAGAAATGGCTTGGTCCTGCCTGAAGTAAACATTTTTTAAAATCTGAGTGGGTCCAGACTGGAGTTTTTTATTATTCTTCAGTAATATCGATACGTTATTTTTATCGGGGAAGACGATCTTAATCGGTCTACGTTTCGTTGTGTCGTTGTTTGCTTTTCCCAGTCGATGACCTTCCGTTCATACTGAACGTAGGAATGATGTATTTAATTATTTCCTCAACTGCGTTGTCGGAATTTTCAGTAACTCCAAGTAATAATATATTGTTTTCTCGGCGTCTGATCTCCTCCATTTCAGAGATGATATTGACTGTATTATAGGAATTCCCCTTACTGAGTTCCTCAAGTTTTTTGTCCATTATTCGTATTTGTTTTTTGTGTTCGTCTTCCATCTGTATCGATTGGGTTTGTAGATCATTGATTTTGGTATCATACGCACCAAGTTTTTCTTCCAATCTAGTGAGGATTCCTGCAGATACACTATCGACAAGCGTTTTTATAAAATAATCGTCTACACAAAGTTGTTTTATACACACGTCGACTGCTGAACGCAGCTCGACAATTCGATCACGTGTCAACGGCATCAGATATATAGAGGGATTTGGTGATCAATCTGAATTAGGTGATTAATTGCTCACTCACAAAGTTCACAAACGCTTCAATTCCCCACTTCAGTTTTTCTTCACTCTATGTGGTAACTACAGTCAACTTTTAGTTTTGTACTTTAGCTTCTACTCATGAATTACACTACTATTTGAGGAGCTTATGAAAACGACACCACACGCTTCGACACGCTTCGACACCACATGTGATTTTGAAGTGTTACGAATATTCCGAAATTTTGATCAGGGGCATGAGAAATGGGTAGGGCTAGGGGCATTTCTTCCCCCAACTATTTTTTATGCGATTTTTGGCAGTTTGACCGGGAAATATGAAAATATTATTCTTACTTGAAAATTATACTCCTGTTTAGTTTCGATAGCAGTGATAGCACTCACTATTTTCGACATAAATTGATTTTAAAAGTCTGTTGCCCAACAAAAATAGTGCATTTTCCTTTTATAGGGTACCGAATTCTGCCGAAAATTATGTTTCGTTGGAAAATACCCTGTTTTCAACATCTGCTTGTGATGGTTCATTCAGAATATGAGAGGAACAATAGGAAGAATCCAATGAGAAATAATATGGTAGGTACCCTATTGAGAAAAAGTACTATTTTTATCACGCAGCAGACTTTTGAAATCGATTTATCTCGATAATGGTGATCGAGTGCTATCGAAACTAAACAAAAGTATCATTTTCAAGTGAAAATTATGATATTTTCATATTTCCTGGTCGAACTGCCAAAAATTGCAGAAGAAAAAAAGTTGAGGGAAGAAATGCCCCTAGTCCCATGCTCCTGATCAAAATTTCGAAACATTCTGAACATTTCCAAATCGGGCATGCAGAGTAATATACATGTACAAAATTTTTGTTAGCTCATCACAGAGGGGTTCTGAAATATTCACAATAAACCATCATCAGGGGCCCTCTTTCAGATGACTATAACTCCCCAGGGGGTCATTTCTGGGCTCATGTTCATATGAACTTTTTTTACTATTTTTGTTCCTAGAATATGTGGTTGAAATATTTCTATGTAATTTTGGGACACCCTGTATACATATACTAGGTGGGATGTAACTAACCATTATGCATGATTACGCTATTATGTATCAATTTCCGCTAGCAAAATGTTTCATCTCTCTCTCTGATGAACGGTGCAGTTTAACATGAAAGAACCAGAGCCGGTTGCAGCTCAAGTAGAATTTGACAATAATTTCTCAGATTTAGTTGGTTTCAACTTAAATCGAATTAAACACTTGATATTGATAATTATTGAAAATAATGATGAAATATGTATATTTAATCATACAGGATGACCCTATACATATCAGCTTATTTTAGTCCAAATGAACAATAATTATTGTACTTGATTAAAACGTGATAAAACGATAGAATACCTCACACTACTTATTCAAATGAAGTTAGGATTATATACAGGGTGATTCAATTTGTTCTTGCTGAGTCAAAGATACTTGGTCGTCGACAATGTTTTTTTCAGAAATTGATTGATATGAACATGTCATTGTTCTGAAAAACTTATATTATCGAAATCAGAAAAAAATGAGTGAGAGGTTGAAATCGCATTTTGATGAAACCGTTTGAAGTTGTGAGAATAACTTGCTGAAGTCATGCCACAAAATCTCATGGTCACTCAAAATTACGCATTTTCAACTGGAAGGTCTAATAACAGTCAACTCTCGGTTTTTTTGAAAAATTAGTTCAATTTTTATCCTTAATATCTTCCATAATCAAAATTGGTAGATAATGTTCCATATAAAATTGGTTCAGTTTATCAACCATTTTTTTCCATAGCGTATGATCCTTTTCAATCTTCTGAAACGCTATTCCTTTGGGGGTCCATATGACGAAATAACACGATTTTCGATTCGTTATGAACAATTGACCTTGGATTTATGATTTGTGTTCAGTAGCATCTGACCATTCTTCCATTCAGCAAATTCAATGATTTTTTGAGTCATCGCGTCCTGTGGAGAAACATTCTGGGCAGTATACGGACATTTGATTTCTACTAAAAAATCTCCATCAATCAACTCATCCGGGGAAGCAGCTAGGTATTGGTAATCCTCTGAAATTACTAATCCTGAGGGTTGGATATCACATCCTAACACAAGAGCAAGTTCAGCGATAGCTTTTGGTTCATTAGCAATGCCATAATCTGTATATTTATTTCCTTGGAATGAAGGATTGATAATCTCATTCACTACTTTATTTTCGTTCGTGGTCATCCGCAGCTCGCAAATTCTACCAAAATTTGAAGCTGTTAGTCTCCGTCTTCTCTCATTATACCATTCTTGACATTTCGTCTGATCCAAAGTAGAATTGAAAATAATACGCCTGTCTTCAACTGTCGTGGTCAATTTTTCTAAAAAGTTTTTCTTTAGACAATCTAGTTCTTCTGTTTCTATTTCCAGGGGCTTTCCAACTTGTGGGCCATAGTTTTCATCAGCATCATTGGAAACTTTCTTTTTTAAACCAGAATTATTCAACATAACTTGTTTTCTCTTAGATGCTTGCTCTCTTTCTTTGATGTGTTTTTTCATGTGACTTCAGTGTGTAGACCTGGACTTTCACCAGTTATTTTTTTATTGATAATCTGGTGGCAACTACCTTCACTATTGTATGAAACTACGGCTGCATTACACCTCATGGTATATCCGTATCTATTGGAGAAGTTTATTCGTTTACCACCAACAAATTTTGCTAGAATCGAATTGTACTGTTCAGCATAATTATTGTTCATATTTTCCATGAGACTTCGCGCATGAAATTTGAGACGATTAGTGCAACTGACGATGTCCCCTAGTAAGCAACTTTTTTTCATATCAGCGATAGTAGTTGTGTTATCTACTATGTAAATTTTGCTAGAATCGAATTGTACTGTTCAGCATAATTATTGTTCATATTTTTCATGAGACTTCGCGCAGGAAATTTGAGACGATTAGTCGATGTCCCCTAGTAAGCAACTTTTTTTCATATCAGCGATAGTAGTTGTGTTATCTACTTTTGTACAAGAGTATTTTTCGCACTTTTCATGTTGCCCAAAAATATGAAATACACAGTTATCTATATCTTTTTTTATTTGTTCAATTTTTACATCAGTTGAAGAGTCTTTTTTCAGATGATGTTTTACGGCACAATCAATTCCAGTCCTAGGTTAGGTTAGGTTCCATGTGAGTGGGGCGAACACCTCCCCTCCACTGCGACCCCAGATGGGTCTATTGTGGCTCACCCCTAGAGGTTACAGTTCACCGTACAATCCACATCTTTTTACAAAGTTCATGGTTGAATTGGGTGAGATTTGTCTGAAATCGATAGGTTCTAGGTTGGTAAAGCCAAATGTGTCGAACCTTAGTCTTTCTAAGCTAGAGCATGAGCATAATATGTGTTCAGCCGTTTCGTCTTCCACACAACAGAACCGACAGTCCGTTTGTTGGTTCAGACCCATCCTTCCCAGGTGGTATCTTAGACGACAGTGTCCCGTAAGCAGTCCAGTCAGAATTCGCAGGTTACCCCTGCTCCATTCTAGGATCTGCCTGGTTATTTTTTCCGATGGTTTAGGCAGGAACGCCTTCGAATGGGTTAATCCTGGTAATTCGGACCAGTACGTGAGTGTTTTTCCCTCCGCCCAGCCCGAGATAGTTGTTTTCGCCGCACTTGCGGTGACCCCAAAATATGGTTCTGGTCCTATGAACACAGATTCGGTTCCCTGTTTGGCGAGGATGTCGGCTTTCTCGTTACCCTCCACCCCCTGGTGTCCAGGCACCCACAGCAAAGTGACTCTGTTGTTAGCACCCAGGCTTTCTAGGGATTCAATGCAGCTCCATACAAGCTTGGAATTTATCTTGCTGGAGCTCAGTGCTTTAAGAGCAGCCTGACTGTCTGATACAATACTGATATTTTTGTTTACTAGAGGTTTATTCGACAACTCTCTAGCACACAATTCAATTGCGAATACCTCCGCCTGAAAGATTGTAGCATATTTGCCGAGATTGACGGAAATTTCCGTCCTCGGTTTTCTGCTGAACACACCGGCTCCCACTCCACGAGGGGATTTCGAACCATCTGTGTACATTACGTGTTCGGTCTCTGGGAATCGGACTGATCCGCTTGCCCATTCGTCTCTCTTCGGGAAGAGGACTTTGGAAGACTTTTTCACGTGTGTCTGAGTGGCCAACATGTCGGAAACCATTCCTAGAGTTTGGTGATTTTTTGTTTCACAAAGTATCCCGGAGTGGTCCAGCAGTCGCCCCCCTCTGATTTGATTTTCCAATGACAGGAATCTGTAGGAAACCATCCTGGCTTCCCTCTCCAAGACAATGTGGAGGGGAGTGAGGTTCAGGAGGTTTTCCATCGCTGCCGTTGGAGTAGAGGACATCGCCCCTGTAATGGCCAGGCACGCCAGCCGCTGGAGACCAGTCCTAAATCGAAGGATGTTTTTTTTAACTCCATCTTCAATCGTGGAGGTAGTAGTAGTCCTTCTGAACTGAATCTTTTGGTGGTCAAATCTTTCAATTTTGTACAGAAATTTCTCAATAGATGATTCTTGCATTCAATTTTTTCTACGAGAAGGTTACCATACGGACGGATATCAATAATTTTTTTATAAACGCTGCTATCACCATCCCCTACAAGATATTTGTATTTCATACCATGCATATCCATACTGGCTTTGAAGCCATCAACAATAATGCTCGCTTCCATGCCTGTTGAAGGACCATTCCAGTTTTTGTAGCAGTGGTGAGGCTCTCCATCTTCGATTTTACATAGAGAACAAAATTTGTTTTTGACGCCCAGATACAACATTTTTTTCGTTCTGTATCCGACAATACATGCCACTCCAGAATGGGCATCATAATTAGTTCTATATGATCTTTTTGACCAAGCGCCATCAGCTTCAACTGTGATTAATGGAATTCCATCACTATCGACTTAATTATTTTCCTTTGCTAATTTAGCCTCTTCTTGTCCAGCTTCTATCATACAGGTCCATGCTTGTTCATCATATTGTGTAGCCAACTCTTCTTGCAAGGAATTATATCTACTTTCAGTCATGGGTGGTATATTGAAAGTAGTAACAAACTCATTCATTTGTGTCCTCCCATTTCCAATACTTATTGTTGCAAGGCCGGCTGCACCGTTTGCATTGATTTTTTTGGAATGGGGATTTTCGCTGTGAACGAGATATATCACATCGCACATTTCACAATGTAAATGAAACGTAGACAAAAAGCATTTTCTCGTTTCTTTCTTCATTGTAGTAACAAGATTGCTCCTGCAAGAGAACAGCCCATGATGAGGAAAGTTCAAAACTTGCTGTAGGAAGAATGCCACATCAATGATACGTCGTCCCTCCACATAATCATCTTCAACTCCTGATGACCTTAAAAAATTGTCAGGGATAATTGAGCATTGCCAACTCTATTACAATAAAAAAAGATGATAGATGAATAATTCACATAATAACATTGATACTCACCTAAATATTTCCATTTCTTCAGCAGGAAAAATTGGTACATTGTTGCCTCCTTCATTCTTTTTCATTCTACAAAAAAAATAACTTTCACATGAAATGAGTTGCACTTAATCAATATAATTTGATATGATTTATAGCAGTAAAAAATTCAATGAATTCGTTAGCAGGCACTTATCGCATTCTTGTACTTATAACTCACTTAATCAATTCTATTTTTCTTGTCGAAAACAAAGTGGGTTTATTATCTTCAATTTCTGCTGTCGGAGACAGAGTGGGTACATTACTGTTCTTTCTGCTTTTCTCCAACCTATAAAAATATACTGATTTCACCTACTACCAATATACAGGGTGTTTGGTTCACCGACGTATATCTGAAAGGAAGGATAGAGGTGAGAAAATTTCGAGCATATTCAACCATATATAATTATACAAAGTGTTACGATTTTCGGGATATCATCTTTTTTCGAACATTTCATCTGATTGTATCTCTTTTTTGAAAAGTTGAATAATTACTAAGTACTTATTCCATCGTTATTGAACACGTAATGGGATCTCAATGTGATAAAAACATGTTTAAGCTAACGATTTTTCATAATATCCAACTTCGATTTTATATGAGATGATAACTCGAAAAGTGTAACACTTTGTATAAAAGTTTAAATCGTTGAATATGTTCAAGATCACATAAGCTATATCACCTCCTTTGACGTGTTTCGCCGAATTTAAAGAAATATTGAGTGCTGCTCGTTTTGAAATTGCCACCCAGTATAAGTAGGTAACATGATGGAAAAATACGCATTTGTGAACGATTTATTGAAAAATCGAACATATCAAACGGAAGGATCAATCCTCGATTCGAACATTAGGGATTCACGAAATATAAAAAATCGAACTCACCTTTAATTGATCTTGGCTGATTTTTTATTAACAAGTCTTCTGCTCTTTTTATATTTGTTCCTTGCTTGCGAACTCATTATACCTATTCAGTAGGTATTTTATATCCCCACGCAGACAATAAGTAATGAAAGTTCGATAAAAACCGCACTAAAAAAATCAATGAAAGCGATAATAAGTACCTATCATGGACGCAGAAAAAATATTTGATCCCTTTCAATTCAATTTGAATTAAATCAAAAAGTATTGAGAAAAAAAAAGGTTAATTCATAGGGATTCGAACTCCGAACAGTCCGAACCCTAGTCTTACCAATCAGACACTTAAAAATTGAGCCACCGAGGTGATTATATGTAAACACTGTATCTTTTATCTATGGTTCATTCGTTTTTTCGCGTCTTCAATAAGATTTACACCAGCTAGTCTTCAGTGAAAGCTGTAAAATGCAATATGCGACCGGTTGACAGTGTTGCCAAACTTCTTCTTCAAAATTTCTTAGCGGGATGCTGAAAATACTCTTTCATACCACACATTTATTTTTCATTAATTTTTGTCTTCTTTAACATTGATTTAATGATACCAACTCATGAATAAATTCAGGAAATTAAATACATGAGTACAACATACTTATACTGTCATTGAGAAAATTATAATTACCTACTAATGTTTTTCGTTGAAAAAATAATTCTCTATAATTACGCTGTGTAACATGGTTTGTGGTCTGGAAACATTCTGAATGCTTGACACTAAAATACCTTGAAAAGGGAAAATTTTGTACATTTGGCAACGCTGTTACCAAAGCAGACGGTGAGACGCGGTGAGCAGTTCCTGGAAAGAAATGTGTCTTGTGTGTGGAACAGACTCACGCGGGTTAGTGTATAAGATGGAAATAGGTATAATATCGCGAGAAGAAATATATTTTTCTAGATTCGGCTCGTACGTAAAGCAGTTTGAAAGAGAAAATGAGGAGTTTTGAGCAAATAAATATCTTCCGTTCATCTTAAAGGCGAACTAAATAAAAAAGAACTGATGTCGGTGCCCGAAGGTCGATTCTCATGAAAAACTCAATGGTGAAAACCGCATAGTGATATCTTTCTTTGTTTTGGAGTTACAAGGTCTTTATCCAAAATGGGCAATTTTGATGAAAAGTGGCTATAAATATTTTGTATTCGCAAAAATTGTCTATTCCCATGAAAATAACTGCAAAGCATTGAGTTTTTGAGAAAAATTGTTCCTGAGGCACTGAAATCGGCCTTCCAATATCTAGTTCCAGAATATAACTTGTTTTTGAAGAAAGAGTTCTGTTTTAAAACTAGGTATACCGGTGACTGATTTCAGTGCCTGAGGATCAATTTTCATGACACGATGCTTTGGAAATGTTTTCATGAAAACGGAGAATTTTTGTCGAAAAAATTAGTTTTAGCAACTTTTAAAAAATTCACATTTTCGAAAAACACCTAGTGATTCTGAAATGAAGATATGCGGTTTTCACCATTGAGTTTGTCATGTGAATTGATCCTCAGGCACCGACATCTGTTTTTTCTACCTACAGGGTGAGTCAATAGTGTGTTCTTCTTTGATATTAGCCAAACCGTCAGATTTATTGGAAAAAATTCGAATACAACAGTTATAGGGTTTCATGAGAACTTTCACCTCAAATTATTTTTATCTATAGGGTGTTCGAATTCCAAGATATTGGCTGGTGATGGGTTTTTTAAATAGGACACCTTGTATATCTTTGCATTTTTAGGTTCTTCCTGAAGAGTTGATATCATCAATACAACACACTTGGGGTGTAGCGGGAGTAATAACAGAGATATAGGTTGTTCAAAGTCGAGATTTTTCAAATTCGAAATTTTTTGTGTCGAAACTATTCATTATTGGTCAAAACCGCTTACATGTTCCCATCTTGACTTTCGATTTACTGACATTCAATTGGGATAGATACAGGGTGATCAAAATTCTTGAATCCTGAATCACCCTGTATTTGTTCCAATTGAATATCAGTAGATATCGTATCGTAAATCGAAAGTCAAGATTGGGTCATCATTTGTAGCTCGTTGCTTTGAAACATTTATTGAATAATACAACCCAGCAAACATGATTGAGCGGTAAATAGGCTGCCGATTGCTGGTAACTGCGGTTAGTTGTCGGCAGCGGCACACCTATGTCGTTAAAATGTTGAAACGACATCGGTTTTGCCGCCATGGCTGAACGTACGCATGTTTATAATGGATGTTTGTTATTCAGCCAGAAATTGCCCGTTTAAAATTCCCGACAATCGTGCCGATGTCGCTTTGACGCAGTATGTATGTTGTTTACAGGTCAGTGGTAACTGAACCAAACGCAATGTTGGCATCACTGGGTTTTTGAGCATTGGTAGTACTGCTAATTTATTTTCGTGTTTTAGTTCTGTGTCCGTAGATCGCGTCAGTTGTCTGTCACTTGTCTTCAGGTATTTGTTAAACGGCGTGATAATATTAATATTATTTAGAAAAAGTTGGTGAGTTTTATGATTGATCCCAGCAAACTATCGTCCGACATCAAGAATAATGATATATGTTATATAACAATAATTAAACTCGTTATTGTCTACCAATCCATTTTTGTGGTAATGATTTTGAGCTAAATATTTGTTCATTACCCTATATTATAACAATGATGCTCCAATGCGAAGTTCAGCTCTTTACCTATATTCGAAAAATATTTGATTCACAGTAATAGATCAAACACTGGAAAAGTAATGTGGCTAGAACATTATCAGACTAAACCTATTCTACGTCGTCGAATCAACAAGTTATGATAGGTATATCGTATATGATCAAATATCAAATATAATTGAAGTATTGTACTATTTCAATTCTGTTGACTGATGGATTCGTAATAGTATCTTTCAAGTTTCGCAGTAGCCTAGTGGTATAAGCGTCTGACAGTTGATTCCTGAAAAATGAAGTCAGCCTCCGTACCAAGAGCCCCGAGATAGAGGGTGATTTTTTAAGTACCACAGACGATACCGACTAGAGGTATAACACCTACTCCTGCCCCTAGAACAAGAGCAGAGCACCCCCCACATATCATAGCAGATGTTTTCATTTCAAACTATCAGGAGGAGATACCCGCCCTTCCACAGAATATGCATCGACTATACGAGGATAGGATTTTGGCACAAAAACTTCAGGACCAGGAGAAAGATTCGATGGATACCACCACTCCACCACAGGCGAGATTGGAAAAGAGAAGGAGGGAAGGCCAGAGCACAACAGAAGAAATAAGGGAAAGGAAGAGACCCAAAAATCCTGAGGGAGAGTTCCAAATTCCTAGAAAAACCACGAGATGGTCGGGAGTGTTCAAGAAAAGGTCTGAACTTATTCCCATCAAAAATAGGTTCAAACCATTAGATCATACCACGACGGCGGCCAAACAAGATCCTGCAACTGAAAAACAGCTCCCGACCACATCAGATGACTCGTCGGACGAAGAAGGGTCGATTGGAAGTGTACCGGAACAGGCAGCTCCCCAAACAAGGAGTACAACCAAAAACTCAGCCAAAACCCCCGCAAAAAACTCGTCACCGGTGAAACAACAGAAACCCCCGCCAATAGTATTTGACGGAGTTCTAACTAATAGAAAACTGATCAACGAAATGGTCAAAGAATTTACGAGTAAACCCTTCTACTTCAAATTCGGAAGGGAGTCCACATTATTATATATGGACAACGTTGACGATTTCGAAATGTTAAAATCGAAGCTAGAGGATGACGAAGTTGCTTTCTATACATACACGCTGAAAAAAGACAAGTCCCACGCGTTCGTAGTGAGGGGCCTGGACTTTAAGCCCGAACCCTCCGAGGTTAAAGAAGATCTGGAGGCTAATTATGATATCAAGATAAGGGAAGTGTTCGCGCTGAACACGAGATTCAGGCCCCTTTACCTGGTAACTGTCGATCCTACTATTACGCTTCGGAACCTAAACGACAGAGTGAAGTACGTCCTCTCCACCAAGGTCGTTTGGGAGCTGAGGCGTAATAATAGAGAAATATCCCAATGCAAGAGGTGTCAGATGTGGGGCCATGCCACCAGCAACTGTTACAGGGACTATAAGTGCCTGAAATGTGCTGGTGGTCACCCCACACCTGAATGCAAAATGCCCAAGCAAGAGCCTGCAAAATGCGCCAA